CACTCTGTAACTGAACTTCCTATCATGCAGATCCTTAAATTTTCAATCACTCAATCTATCACATAAGTGGTCGACTTTTCCTACGCGTCTCTACCATGAGAGTAAGGCTTTCCTTCTTGATCTCTGTTTTACCTTCATCCCATTGTCTAGTCAGGCCACGCAGCCCTGTCATCTTGGTAACTCCGATCATACCGTCGTGTCTGTTAACATCTTCTACCCCCCCCCCAGTAAAGAGCCTCCCACCAAAAGAAAATCTTTCTGTTATCAACGAGCAGGCTGGGACTCGTTCCGTGATATCCTTCGCGATATCCCCTGGAATGTTTTTTTTTAACTCCCCGTCAAAAAATGTATTCTCCTGGGTAAAATCTGGGTTCAAGGCTTTCATCCCCGCAAGAAAATATAAAGTGAAATCGCGTTCCTCCCATTGGTTCTCGGCTGCTTGCTCAGCTGCTATTGCCCACAGGAATCACTAATTCCGTCTGTACCGTAGCGACATGTCTGATTGCAACAGGCGTCTCTTCTGTCCCTGCCAATAATGAGTGCAAGCGTGTCCTCAATGAAGTAAAGTTACTGTTTGCTGAAAGAATGAAACAATGTATTACTTCTCACAAGTTTTGTTCTAAAGAGCTTGCTGAACAACAACAAATCCACACTACCTCCATTATTCAACCAATTTGAGGTCCTGACTTCCTCAGCTGACAAGGCTAAATGCTTTCCTCGGAAATTCTCATCCAATTCAACGCTAAACTCATCTGGTGTATCCACACCCAATTTTCCGCCCAAAACTGAGGCTCTCTCGAGTGAGATGCACATAACCCCAACGATGGTATAGGGCATCGTCTCTAAAATAGATTCCAATAAGGCTAGTGTTGGGGACGGGATACCGGCCATTGGCCTGAGCAATTGTGCTCCCGTGCTGGCTCCATTCCTCTTGAAACTATACAACTACTGCCTCAACGACTCTTGTTTTCCAGCCTGTTGGACATCCTTATAAGTTGTGTCTGTCTTTAAGAACTCTGGAAACCCTTCTGACCCATATAACTACCGTTCTATCAGTCTCTTACCACTCTTCAGTAAAGTCTTCGAGGCTTTAATCAACACCGAAGTGGTTAAGCACCTTACTTTCCGCTCTCCGACAAGGAATATGGTTTCCGCTTAGCCCGATCTACTGCTGACGTGGCCACAACCATAACTGAATTTGTATACCAAGCATTTCACAATAATGGAGAAGCTCGAGCCCTGGCTCTGGATATCTTTAAAGCATTTGATAAGGTTAGGCAAGCTGGTTTTCTTCGTAAGCTTCAGGGATACGGCATTACATGACGGTTATTTGACTTACTACAATTCCTGTCAAACTGTGAAATGATCGTCGTTCTAAACGGGTTCTTTTCCAGATAGTTTATCACAAACGCCGGTGTACCCCAGGGCTCTATCTTGAGTCCTACTTTATTCCTGATCTTCATTAAGGACATTTTCGATGTCATCAGTCCCAAGTAGGCATCTATGTGGACGTCACTACTATTTACTCCTGCCTCGATAGTAAATGTGGTATCGTTGACAAAATTAACCTGGCCGCCAATTTCAAAAAGGATTTCTAATCTGTGGTTGACTGGGGTAGGAAATGGCTTGACTAAAAATTGAAACTGCCATTTTTTACGCACCACAGAGAATTCTTTCTGCCTCCCATCAAAATGGCTGATGCCCAACTCTACGAGATCGCCTCGTTGCGCCTGCTTGGTCTCATGGTGTCCGCTGATATTTGGAACAAATACATAGACTCAATAGCTTCATCTACCGCGAGGAAAGTTGTTTCTCTGTGTCGTGCCAGAAATTTTTTTTGTCGTCTGAGTCCATACTTCAAATCTATGAATCAACCATTCGTCCTTGCCTGGAATATTGCTGTCATATATGGTCTGGTGACCCCGCTATAAGTCTCGAACTCCTCGACAAAATCCAGAGACGGATATGCAATGTGATAAGCCCTGATCTGGCATCTAGTTACTTTCTGACAGACGAGTTGTGGCTTCCCTCTATCTCTTCTATAAGTATTTTCATGGCAACTGTTCCGACGAGTTGATTTCACTGATTCCCAGGCTGTATGAATTTAAACGTTCTACTCGGTTGGCATCTCGGTCCCACTCTTTCAATGTTGAAACAGTTAAATGTTAACGTCTCTTCTACACAAGCAGCTTTTTCTCTCGCACTTGCCGTCTGTGAAATTCTCTTTCTTTTACTTCCCTCACTGATAACTATAATCTTCAAATATTCAAGTGTAATGTCAATCGACATCTTCTGATACCTTGATCTTGTTCCCCGTACGTCTCTTTATCCTCTCCCCAGACACGCCTCTTTACTCTTGTTCTCTACCCCCTGTAACTCCTTGCGTGCTTGTGGCACTTTCACCTTGTTTGGGGGAAAATGCTTAAGAAAAAAATTGATAAATAAATCTTTATATTAATTTGGCTTGCCTGGGACTTGGAATTACTCAGATATTTGGTGTAGGGGGTTGTCAACCTGTATTTATATATTTACTAAGCGTGGCTTAATTGGGGTACAAGGCCGAAAGTATAGGGCACCCAGTGAAGATTATACATTCGATCGTGTGCCACAGCTAAGCCACACTTAGTAACTCACTCACTCACTCTCTATCTCTCTCTCTCTCTCTCACTCCCTCTATAGCAAAATTGTTCAAATCGTTTAACAGCGAAATTCAATTCTTAGATTAAACTTTGAACCGTTGTATCTTAGAAATGATTAAAGATATTTTACTGGAATTCTTTATAAGGTTGTGCGTTTTTGTACAAATACAGTAATAAGAGAATTCTTTTTTTACTGGTAGATTTTCCGTGAATATGGCATGAACTATATTGTTCAATAATTACAGTAATGTCACACTTATTATCCGAAACTCAGCGTTGCGACCGCAAGTTCCAAAACAATAACACATTTCTCATAGCATTTTTTCGGATTACATCCCTATTTTCGTTGTCCTCTTATTACCGAGAAGTAAAAACAAGAACAAAATCTATTTCCATACCTGAGGATGTCTGTAGGAACAGACGAAAGCTTGTAAAAAATTAAAAAGACCTTATGAAACTGGAATTTATAAACAGGGATCATATCATTCATATACAGGTTCGGGGTTAGTGTACCTGATTGAAATTGTTTGCAAAGATGCATTCTCGCCATTTAAATCATTAACCTCTATATTTGTTTTTTGTATGAATGATTCATGAATGTATATATATATATATATATATATGTGTGAAGAAATATAGTCTTAAGGTGTACTATATTTATGGGATAAAGTGCTCAATATCAGAGAAAGGGCAAGTGTAAATATAAAAGTGAACATAGAAGTCAACACAGAGGCGACAGTCTGTTTCATGCTAGATGCAATCGTCAGGCCACTCTAGGTGTGTATGTATGGAGAGGGAATATACACATCTATACACGCATGTTGACAGAAACACACGAAAATGGAAATAGATCTAGGAACACACAGCGGTCATTAAAACATTAAAAGATAAGGTACCGATAACTAATTCATCATTTCTCTCGGACCAATCTTAATTGTTTTATGACCCTTCGCGTAGAACTCTTCACTGCCAGTTCATGAAAAATTTGGATTATTAACACAAAAACAGAGAATGTCTCATATCGAGAATATTTAACATCGAAAAACATAAAGGAGTAAAAAAAATAATATATATTGTTAATAATATGTGGAAATCTCCACCCTTTACCTGATGACGGTCGCGGGACCAGAAACACGTGTAGTAAAATTATTGAAAATAAAACATAATATTTAAAAAAAAATCCACATTACAACCAAAAACGTTTGCGGTATCTCTCTTCTGTTTAATATATATATATATATATATATATATATATATATATATATATATATATATATCATTAATAATATTATTTGATAATGCGTATGGATAATTCCAAGAGGATATAAATCCAAAGAGAGCTCAATTTCAGAACAGAGCAAATAATACTTATGAAAGGGAAGATTTTAGAAACCTTTATATACTGTGTGTGTGTGTGTGTGTGTCCGCGCGCACGCGTACCGTTGGGTTGATATAGACAGACTGGATTGAGATCTTGAGATTTATATAAAAAGCTTGAAACAGATAGATAGATAGATAGATAGATAGATATGAAGAGAGAAATTGTGATAGACAATGAAGAGACTGAGATAGATAGATAGATAGATAGATAGATAGATAGATAGATAGATAGATAGATAGGCAATAACAAGTATTGAAAGGTTTGATTGCGGACGTATAATGGATAATGGCGCGAAATTGTTAATCTGATATTCGAGTTCCAATTCCCATTCGGGTCGTCATATTCCCTTATGAGAAAATACCCTTGGGAAAGGTATGAACCCACTTATCCTTCCCCCAGCTGTGGAAGAATCAGTAAGATTTGTATCTCTAAACCAACATCATCTCAAAAAAATTCTTGGAATCTAAATGTTTTTTTTTATCCTGCCTTAGATAACCTGCAACATGTTGATAAGCCGTATAAAACAAAACAGTAAAATGAGGGAAAAAGTTCCATATTTCTGATGGTAATTCATAGATAATGAAAACACTAGATAACTAAAAGTCTTTTACAAGTTTATTCAGCTGAATCGTGATTTCATACATCAAGTGTGCTCTAGGCTTGAGGCCATGTTGCAAGCTAACTTAAGCTTATTAAATAAAATGTGTGGCGATCTATAGAGATGATTAGTAAATTTAACAGAACATTATGGAAAGTTTCGTGAGTCATTCTCACGGGTGCGACATTATATTATCCGAGAAACGTTACCAAATATATTCTGGGTCTGATCTTAACCGCCAGAGACAGCGAGGAATATACGAAAACTGCCCGTGAGTAATAATCTGAAAAAAGGGGAGGGCTATAATATTTCGTATCAACGGGAAAAGATTGTGAAAAGACTGATTATAGGTAATGTCAGATCTTTTTTCATCTGCCGATCGATGAGTCATTTCTTCAGAATCAATTGGGCTTTTTTCATATCTTGTCGCATTGATTGATTTATTTTTGCATTTGTCTTTGATGCCGTTTTTCATTCATTCAACTTTCTTCCAGTTGATGTGTTTTCGGCTTCTTGTACTCATGTAGGGAAAGCAGAGTTGCACGACATCAATCGAGAATCATCCAATCAATATAATCTATCTATCTATCTATCTATCTATCTATCTATCTATCTATCTATCTATCTATCTATCTATCTATTTCAATATGTTCCTATCTATCTATCTATCTATCTATCTATCTATCTATCTATCTATCTATCTATCTATTTCAATATGTTCGTATCTATCTATCTGGGTCTCCTTGTATCTACCTATCAAACTAGCAATTTCGCCAGCTTAGTAGCTAGCTATCTAGGGTCTCCTCACATCTATCTATCTATCTATCTATCTATCTATCTATCTATCTATCTATCTGGATCTCCCCATATCTACCTATCAAACTAGCAATTTCGCTAGCTTGGTAGCTAGCTATCTAAGGTCTCCTCACATCTATCTATCTATCTATCTATCTATCTATCTATCTATCTATCTATCTATCTATCTATCTATCTCAATATGTTCATTCATCTATTCATCTATCTATCTATCTATCTATCCATCTCATCTATCTATCTATCTATCTGGGTCTCCTATATCTACCTATCAAATTAGCAATCTAGCTATCTAGCTATCTAGGGTCTCCTCATATCTATCTATCTATCTATCTATCTATCTATCTATCTATCTATCTATCTATCTATCTATCTGGGTCTCCCTATATCTACCTATCAAACTAGCAATCTAGCTAGCTAGCTATCTAGGGTCTCCTCATATCTATCTATCTATCTATCTATCTATCTATCTATCTATCTATCTATCTATCTATCTATCTATTTCAATATGTTCGTATCTATCTATCTGGGGCTCTCTGTATCTACCTATCAAACTAGCAATCTAGCTAGCTACCTAGCTAGCTTTCTAGGGTCTCCTCACATCTATCCATCTATCTAGCTAGCTATTAATGAGCTATTTAATTATCTCCCTAATCTCCCTCTCATTCCACTCTATTTATATCTACCCATAGGTCTGCACACACACACACACACACACACACACACACACACACACACACACACACACACACACACACACACACATATATATATATATATATATATATATTTCAGTGTTTTCATATCTATCGAGCTAATTATTTTCATTATCTATCTATCTATCTATCTATCTATCTGGATCTCTTCATATCTATTTATCTATCTACCTACCTTATTGTGTTCATCTCTCTAATCTCCCTCTTACTCCAGTCTGTTTATATCTATCTATAGCTTGGCACACATGCACATACGTACAAACATATATCTATTTCAGTGTGTTCATCTTTTTCTCTCACTCTCTCTCTCTCTATCAATCTATCTATCTAATTATGTTCATCTCACTTATCACCCTCTCATTCCGGTCTGTTTATATCTATCTATAGGTCTGCATGCGCATGCGCTCACACAAACACACACACACACACATATCTCTTTCACTCTGTTCATATCTCTATAGCTAATTATGTTCATATCTATTTATCTAGTAGTCGATCACATGCCAGTCTTTCGACTGAAGATGCATCCACGTGGTCTTACGACTGCTGGGTTGTTGGTAGAAGGTATTAGCAATACTAAGGTTCGAATTCTTTTCAGATCGTTAGAAGCTGCAATCCATTTGAATTCACACGACTAATACCATGGAGACCTAAAATGCTCTTTCAAGAATGATAATTATTGCCAACACAAGCATTTAAGTCACCTGTAAGTATTCATTTATCCTTATGTTGGACTTTAGAGATGACATCCCGAAGGAGATCGTAAAAATCATCTTTTTCTTGATCTCAATTACCTAAGGTGAGAGCTTAGCAGCTAACCATCGTCACAAGGGTGTTTCACTCCAGAGTGAGGGTTAGTGTCATTATACAATCTGATACACCTTTAGGTAATGAAGGCAGTGAGCTAGCAAGGTCGGATTGGCGTGGCTCTTTCTCACTCTTGCCAACCAATTAAAAACGTATCCATCTTTTTCTTCCTAAGCTGAGAATTGCCAGCCATATATATATATATATATATATATATATATATATATATATATATATATACAAATGCCCATTAAGGAATTGTATTCCTGATCAATTAAAATTCGTAAATAATTATATAGGCCATACTACAACATGTTTGACACGAAGACTCACTCTACATCTTTCTGACCATAGCTCAATTAGATCTTATTTAAATATTTATGGAGACCTACCGAACACTATTTGTAATATACTTGTTGACAACACTAATATAATAGCATCATCTACATATAAAAAAGGGTAAAAATAATGGAAGCCTTATTAATAAAAATAAAAAAAAGACAACACTTAATATTAATTTGGACATAATATCTTGACTGTGTTTTGAAAAATGAAAACATTTCATAAAACATACATACAACAAACTATTTATTTTAATAGTTAAAATATACTTCTTGAAAATGGCTAAATGTATAGCCGAAAGCGCTCGGATAAAAAGAACATTCGAAGAGTTTTTATATAATTTATCATCCGAAAAGAAAAAAAAAATATTAGATCGCATGTGAAATTGTATAAAAAAACTAAATAAAAGCACCTTGTCTGTCGTTTTAAGTGCATGAAAGAAGGATTGCTACCTAAATATATACACACACACACACACACACACACACACACACACACAAACATATATATATATATATATATATATATATATATATATATATATATATATATATATATATATATATATTCGTTAGAAATGCAGAAAATATTTCTGTTCCTTGTAGCGATCCAGTGAGTATCTAACTCCTCGTTTTATCATCTACCTTTACAAGTGCCAGATCAGACCGAAAAGCTGTCATCTCATTATTGTGAGTGATCAATTATTTTCCATCCTGCAAACCCTCTCTCACAGACGAAAGCCTCTCACTGTTCCATCGCAAAGTGCTCGGACGAACAGCATTCCTTGGTTCCACAAGTTCTAACCTCAAACGACTCGGACCTGCTATGATACGCGAATTGCATCGGACTACCCTCTGTAGTAAGTTTCACTCGAGCAGCTTCCCACCAACCACTGCTCTGCTTAACCGACTCTCCATTTCATGTCCCCACCCCCGATAACTACCTACAACCGTAATATCTTCATGTCTTGGGTTAACCGTTATCTTCCCTATCTACGGGGGTATAAGAATAAACTACATCCAGGCCACTGATTGAAGGTTTTAAGGAGCATTGAACCACCTCATAACCGAGGTTGTTCCCAGACCGACCTTGACCCGGGGTGGTAGCACCTGTTAGGGTCCCAGCCATGGGCAAATAATGAACCGCGAAACAAAAACAGAACAGTAAGAAAGTGTGAAATTAATTTTTTATAGTAAAAATACCAACAATACATGCTTATATAAAAAATTACCAACAATACATATCTATACTAAAATTATTAACAATATATTTTTAAAGCAAAATGACTAACATTACATTTTATAGCAGATATTATAGAATTGCCAACAATACATTTTGTAGCAAAGTAACCAACAATGCATTTTATCTGTAGTTGAAGGCATACAACTGCGTTTAAAATATAATTAATAGAAGTCATGAAATCGTGTTCGAACTATTTAGATTTCGATATTAAATAACCCATAGAGGTTTCCATATGTCGCAAAACAAAATCAACCAAACTAGACCAATGAAAATATGTAGATTTCGGCATTAAAAAAACTCATAGAGGTTGATATGCCACTAAAGAAAATCAGCTAAACAAGACTAAACCCTACCTATGAGCATAAACTGTTCCTCTTACACTGTAACTATCTACCTCGAGTGGCTCATGAGCCTTGCCCCTTTTTAAGCAGTGCTTGACCTGTAATCTCTGGTTACACTTTTAGAATTAGTCTGTTGGAAAGTAGCAACTGAACAAATATAAGAGAATCGAGTACATGATCGATTTTTGTACAGTATGTTTGATTAGGTTTTAGATCAAAGTTATTGATTCGCATTTGTCTATAATTGCTACACTCTATTAATTTCAAATCGATTTTTATCATTTTTTAAACTCTTAAATTTGCTTTGTCGATTGACAGGATACATCGAAGTAGATTCTGCTGTCTTGTGGGTGATGATTCATTTCCAACCCTGCATGTCCTTTCCCCCCACACACAGCATTGCAAGCCTGTCACTACTCGATCGTTCAGTTGAAGAACATTCTTTAGTTCTCCCAGTTCATACCTTTACAGCTTGGGCAAGAAATGCTGCTTCGGCAGAGTTGAATCCTCCTAATTTTTCTCGTTTTCCTAATATAAGAAGAAAGGTTGACACGGACAGGTTTGCTTTCTCCCAAGATCTGCTACTTTGTCGAAAAGACTCCCACCGGGATGCTTTCTTGAATACCTACAACTTGATCCCTTCAAGTTAAGGCTCAATCGATCTTTCCACCTCGTTGTCATAATCTTTAATTCATACTATATTTTTCCTTTGTATCATGCGCCTCCTTCATCATTGCTATTTCGACCGAAACTCTCTATCTTGAGTGCTTCCGAGCCTTGAACTGCGAAAATATTGGTCTAAAAAACGTTTCAATATTTTCGTCATGTTTTTCTACGCGGCTTGTTGTCAATACTGTTTATAAAAAACAGAGCATTTACTTAAATATTTGTATCTATACAAAGATCGTATAAACATAAAAAATATATATATAATAATGGACTCTTCCGTCGGTTTCGACGTATGAGGATCTGATAGCTTATTGATTCAATTATGAAAGTTTGTGCGATAATCTTAAGTGGCATTTAAGACCCGCTAGGGATTTACAAAGGAGGCCACATATGGAACAAGTGTAAGGATTGTGAAATGAGATCACTGTTAGATTGGCTGACCGTTTAGATCTTGCTCTCGGTTCTTGAAGATGATTCAGACAAGCAGATTGAAAATTGCTGAGTCCACTAAAACACGTTGATCTCTATTCTACCCGCTCCAAAGCTAAGCACTCAAGGGTGTTATGTGGTATATTGACTGCTGACAAGTTGCTTTTCAGCTTGTCTTTGTATTTTCGCCATTGGCGTCCTACATTCCTGTAGCCCTGATCTAACTGGCTGTATATTAGGATCTTGGGTATCCTGTCATCAGACATTCTCAAGACATGACCAGTCCACCGTAACTGAGACTGTATGATAAAAGTATCGATTTCTCCAATATTACACCTGTTAAACAGGTCTACGTTAGATGTCCTATCTTGAAGCTTAAATCAACAGATTGCACGCAGACAGCTTTTATGGAAAACATCTAGCTGACGTATATGGTACCTGTATGGAGTCCACGACTCTGAGCCATACAAAAGGATGGCAAGTACAACAAAAAGGATAAAGTATATATATATATATATATATATATATATATATATAGATAGATAGATAGATAGATAGATATATATGAAGAAAAATTTTGAAAAAAACAAACAATTTTGAAAAAACAAACAAAAATCCTTAAATGTAATTTAAGGATTTTTGTTTTTTTTTTCAAAATTTTTCTTCATTCTGTCGGATTTATATCCATTTACACTTGCTTATATATATATATATATATATATATATATATATTCGTTAGAAATGCAGAAAAATATTTCTGTTCCTTGTAGTGGTCCAGTCAGTACCCGATTCTTCGTTCTATCTTCTACCTTTAAAAGTTCCTTATCAGGCCGAAAATGCTGTCATCTCATCATTGTGAGTGACCAATTATTTTCCATCCTGCAAATCCTCTGTCACAGACGGAATTTAGACTAGTACTATGAAGGGTTTTTGACCCTTCAGACGTTTACCTTCATCGAACTATGTACATAAATATTATACGAATTTAGAAATAATAAAATTATTTTATCTTTATTCGACACCTTAATTCGGTATAATCTTTCTTCGTATATGCAACTGATCTCCGTAGTTTGTTTACATTTATTTTGCACGTGATTATTATTTTCTTTTAAAATCACCATTCTTTATGATCCCTTCACATAAAGTCATTCTTCTTAAAAGACATTAGGGAACTTGAATGATCTAATATTTCGAATACGTCACAGTTCTCGTGTTAGAAAATATAAAAAAAATAAAACATATGAGCAACCTACCGTGCCTCGCTTAAGTTTTAATTACGGTTTTAAAATTAGATGTTAACGATTGCAATTACAACGAAAAACAAAATTAAAGTCAAACCTTTGATAAAGAATT